TCTTACCACTAAGTCACCAGAACTCCCTTTGCTTTGATGGTAGTAAGTTAACTGTTGTTGTGTACCACAGAGTTGGAACTGACCCACAACTGACCCTCCAGTCAGTTTTCAGAGGCAATGAATCAGATGGGAGGAGATTTCCCATTCTTCTCCCACAGGTTAATTCATAGAGGCTTAAAACAGCACATATTCATGATTTCACATGAATATGCAACTTTGGGTTTCACAAGAATGCAGTGAAAGTGTTGGAGAGGGCTGAAGTCTTATCTAAAGCTTGGCGTCCTCTTCTAAACACTTGGGAAATTAACACAGAATTAAGTTCTTTGCAGCAGTAGGATTCATAGCAACTTGCTGCTTGCCCAAGTCTACAGAACATCTCTGAACTCTAGGAATTACCTTCTTTTAAAGTACTCACCCGGTTACATTAGCATTGTTGTTGTTCTGTACAATAGTGTCAAAACCAACCCATAGCTGATCCTATGGAGGGTTTTCAGAAGCAGTTAATCACATGGAGGAAATTGCCCATCCAGGATAGTGTCTGTTTGTTGAAATATATCAATTGGTATGCTGTCAACTCCTGGAGCCTTGTTTTTTGCCAATTCTTTCAGAGCGGCTTGAACTTCTTGAACATCACCATAGGCTCTTGCTCATTCATTATTTCATGAAATTTTTTCTGTGTCAGCCAATTCCTTCTGGTACAGTGACTCTATATTCTTTCCATCTTTTTCTAATACTTCTTAGATTATTTAATATTCTACCCAGAGCATCCTTAAGTATAGCAAATCAAGGCTTGAATTTGTTCTTCAGTTTCTTCAGCATAAGAAATGCTGAGTGAGTTTGGCCTTTTCAATTTTCTGACTCCAGCTCCTTGCACATTTCATTGTAATACTTTACTTTGTATTCTTGCACTGACCTTTGGAATCTTCTGTTCAACTCTTTAATATCTTGATTTCTTCTCCTGACTAGAAAATATAAAATAATATTCATGCACCACAACAAGATAAAGGTAAACAATACAATTGAAAAATGGGCACAGGATATGAA